CAAGAATTGTTGAAGCAAAGTGGAATAATGAATCATTTGTCAGATAAGTTCCTCAATGAACCATGATAATGTAAAGGTCGAGTGGAACCCATTGTTTTATTTTAAAACAATGACTGACTTAGAGTCACCACTTATTTTTAAAGGGAAATTGAGAAAACCAATTGTCAAGAGGTTTGAAACAGAAAATCAACTGAAAGTATTTAAGGGGTTTAGGGGTTCGGGGTTCATATTAGCATCCTGTGAAGGGTTTTAAAGCACCCTAAATGCCCCCTAATATGTGATTATCCAATAATTAATTATTTGGCTAATGTTTTAAAATATAAAAATGTTTGAATAAGTGAAAGTAAAATATTTACTTGATTTTAAATGATTGAATCAAAAAGGCTAACTTTTGGGGAATTTGAATATTTTGAAACCCTAAAAATAAATAAGCACATAAAACACAAATAATAAAATATGCAAAATTAGCAATTAAATCATAATATATAATATAATTAGTTAAAATAACAACACTTTAAAATATTTATTTAAATTGTCAAAATGACAGTATTTTAGAAAATATTTTGTATTCAAATTTCATAATTTAAATTTTCTTTTATTTATCAAAAACACTCCTACATTAGAGCAAATTCAAAAATCAATAAATTTTAAAAAGAAAAAAATGATTAAATCACTACGCGTTAACCTTTTTTCTCCATATTTCACATCCTCTCCCACCCACTTCATAATTTCTAACTCCTATTTCTTCAAGGTTCTTCGAAATTGTTTAATAAAATCTCTAGTTTAATTCAAGAGATTTTTTCATTGTCAAATGTAATTTCATTTATTTACTGAGATTTCTTTGTATTAATTTTAAAATCGTCAATTATGGTGTAGATTCAGTTGTGAAGAGGGAAAATTTGAATTTCAACACTATCCTACCCACGCGATAATGAAATCAACAGTTTGGAAAATCAATAAATTATGGGTATCGAAAAAAGTTGATGAAATTGTTGAAGATCAAAGTGATGAAGAATAACTTTATGACATGTCGCATTTTGTATTTAAATTATCATATTGTATCCTTCATTGTTTTTATAGTCTATTGCATTTTGTATTCATTACAAATCTCATGTGGTATCCTGCTAACATTTGAGTTTTTAAGTATAACTTGTATCTATTTTGTAGATGGTATTCATTTCAAATTATTTATATGTTTAATCTTGTATTATATTATAGAATAGTAGATAAATAGTTTTACATAATTTTGTAACTATTCGAAATTTGGCTTCATACAATTTTATATTTTTTTAAAATCTTATATTCATTCTAACTATATGCCTAGAAATTTGTGTTTTTTGTGCTCTATCTGTATTTCAATCTCACTTTGTATTTTATTGTCACTTTTTATGCCGACAAGTTCTTTACTTTTTGTGTATACTTTGTATTTCAATATTATTTTGTATTTCAAACTCATTTTGTATTTCATTCTCACTTTCTATGCCAACAAGTATTGTATTTCTTTTGTACTCACTTTGCATTTCAATATCATTTTGTATTTCATTTTCACTTTCTATGCTAACAAGTTTTGATATTTCTTTATTTATTTTATATCAATTTTAAATGTATGCCAAGGAGTTTAAGATTTTTTGTGCTCACTTTGTATTTCAATCTCATTTTCTTTGCCAACAAATTTTGTATTTTTCTTTGATTCTAAAATGTTCTTCACTGCCCCCAAAAATGTTAAATCAATCGACTTCAATTCTACATAGATTCAATATTTTCAATGAAATGTTAAAAATTAATATTGTAAATTTGAGGAATAAGGGAGAAAAAAACTATATCGATTATGGAACCAAATGCAAATAATAGAAAAGAAATTTTATAAATTTTAGTCCCAAAATAAAAGAAGAAAAGACTTAAGAGTAATGGAAAAAAAGTTATGCCTACTTAAAGTTAAAACTAAAATTATGATTATTAATAATGTAACTAACTTTGTTGGTTTAAATTAAAAAATTACCTTATTTGAAATATTATTTTCCTTGATTTTCTCCATTATATTATTAATAAATTGTGTTTAATCAAATTAATTTTTTTATTTATTTTTTAAAAAGTTTTTTTGTTCCATGATTTTCTCTGTTCTATTATTAATTATTTGTATTCTTTTCAAAATAAAAATAAGTACATAACTATCTCTTATCAAACTAAAAAATGACATTTTTAATAGATAATGAAATTGTTGCTAAGGAGTGCCACTATAAACTAAGATAATATTATTTTGAAAGTTTTCCCAAAAAAATAAATGAGATAGAGAAAGAAGATTTAGGCCAAAGTTTGAATATGTTCGCCTGGGCCAGTACTGGAGCCCATTTTATTTTGGGTTTGTGGCCCGTTTGATTCACACTTGTTCTACACTAACATAATAGGAATATTTTTTCTTTGAGACTTAGGTCTCATCCTTTCACCTGTCCTACATTGTAGCAAAACAATAATATATAAGATAACAAGGGATTAGGCGCAAAATAACAAAATACAATTTTCAAATAAAGGGTGGGCTTTGGCCTTATTGCTCCACATGCTTTTAACTTGGGGACCCGTACGTCGATTACCTAGCTTGAAAATGGGTATGACTCGAAGTAAGTAAATTTTGGGCCTTCGTGGCCCAACTCAAAATGCAAAGGAAGGAATGAGTTTTTGGCGAACTCGGACAGATCTTACATGCAAATGAAGAGTGGTAAAATTAGTATTCGATAATAATTAGATTGTTCAAACCTTAGCTCTAACGATAACATGATTCATCGATTACGAAACAATAATGCATTCAAAGGCATATGCACAAACATATTTCAACTAAACCAATATGAATAAATTGAAGTTGAATAGTATGGCTATCGATTGATAGAAAATTAGTTATGAGGACACAATAAGATTGGTTAAGTATCACACTTTGATAACATGGTTAGAATGAATGACACTATTATGAGTAGCATGTACCCCTCAAGACCATTCACATGGCGTCAAGCAAAGGATTTCCAAGGCCTACAAGTAATGTTCATGAAAAGGGAAGCATAAGAGGAAATTGAAGGTCACACAAAGAACGACATACAATGTGTTTACATTACATCAAATTGAGAAGGAAGAAGAAAAGAGGCCATGTGTGCAAATGTCCATTTCATGAATTCAAGAATTCACAAAACAAGACAACCAAGAAGGCACTTACCTCATTAAGGGCAAAATTGTCAAAGAAGTGTCTTCTTTATTTCCTTAGTATAAATATTAGTTTTTTTTAATCATTTTGCAACTCTTAGACTATGTTGAATATTGACTCTCAAATTGTTGTATCTTCTTAGTGAGTGATAAGTGAGTAATTAGGGTGAATCTTAGGATTGCTAGTTAACTTCTTGAGTTTGATTAATCAAAGTGTTACCCCTTTGTGATTCTTGGTTTCACTTAATTATTCTTCCTTGGGTTAAATTTAGGTTATTGAAGTCAATCGGGAGGTGAGGGTTTTAGTCCCTTGTTGCCCATGATTTCAATAACTTGAGTATTAATCCACATATCCTTTATTTCTTCATGTCTTTCCTTGTTTGATCTTTATCTACTGGGTAAATCAGAGATCCCACTTGCAATAGCACATCTTCCACCACCCCGTCAAGTCTAGCTACAGATCTATCAGCCAACTGAAGAATTATGGTAGTTGGATTAGGACTACCCAACCCCAGTTTTTTAAATAGCGAAATTGGCATCAAGCTTATGCTTGCTCCCAAATCGCACAACCTTTGGGCATGAATACTATAGCCTATAGTTATCTGCATAGTAAAGCTTCCCGGATCTTTAAGTTTGATGGACAACATGTTCTGGATCCTAGAGTTGCACTCTTTAGTAAGTGTAATTGTCTCATATTCTGTAAGTCTTCTTTTGTTTACCACTATCTCCTTCATATACTTTGCATACCTGGGTATACCCTGAAAAACATCTACCAAAGGTAAGTAAATATGAACTTGTTTCAAAAGAGAGAGAAACTTACCAAAACATTGATCCTTACTTTGTTTCTTGAGCTTCTGAGAGAACGGAGGAGGTGGTCTCACTATTGGTTGCAACTTTTCAGTGGGTGCAACTACTTCATTTTCTTCCGGATAAGCCACTTTAAGTTTACCCTCTTTTCTTACTATTTCAGTAGTGTTTTTCTTAGGAACTAACTCCTCCAATTGTGTTTTACTACGAGTACTCACAGAATTTACTAGTTTTGGATTTGGATCTGTATTACCAGGAAACCCTCTATGTTGTCTAGAATTTTGGGCTCTAGCAAACTACCCTAATTGTTTCTCCGGGTTCTTAGTGGCTAACTGGTTATTTCTCACATCCGTATCCAACTGAGCTTGATCTGTCATAATTTTATTCAACATATCCTCAACATTCATGTTCCCTGATTGAGGTTTAGGTTGCTCCCTCTGCACTTGTCCTTGATATCCTTGTGAATTACCCTGAGGTCTATATCGGTTCTATCTTTGGCCTTGATTTTTGATTTCCACCCTAAGAAAAGTTTGGGTGGTTTCGCCAGCTTGGGTTATAAGAATTCCCATGGTTCTGTTGTCCACCTCCTCTATGAGCATTTCCTACAAAATTTACAGAGTTTGGGTTTGCACCACATATCTCTAAAATGTGATCACTTTCATCATATATCTCACACCAAGATGATGGTTGTTGAAATGCATTAACTTGAGAGGTATCCTGTCCCGATGACATGTTAGTGAAATTTGTATTCATCATATTTTTATTGGCAAAATTTGTGCAGTCAAAATAGTCACAATGTCAATTTCTAATACACCTGCAATTTTCTGAACTACCGATTTTAGTCCACTCCCATTCCACTGTGGATTCCCCTGGGAAATCCGATTCAGCAAGGTGTATAACTCAACATAAGTCTTCTCTAAGGCTTGTCCACCTGCAGTTGAATCAAGGAAAATATTGGTGTAGTCTCCAAACCTTCAATGATAGTATGGACTAACACCTCTTTAACTTGATGATAATGAGGCCATCTCATCAACAATGATTTGAACATGTACCATGCTTGGTATAAATTCTCACCATCCTTCTGTATAATACTTAAAATGTCACTCCTCAATTTAGCTGTCTTTCCAGATGGAAAGAATTTGACGGGGAATCACTGTGCTAGATCATTCCAGGTGGTGATTGAGTTTGTTGGCTCTAAATTCAACCATATTTTTTATTCCCCCAACAGATAAAAGGGGAATAAAGTGAGTCTCACATAATGTTTATTCACTCCAGTTGGAGTGTAAGTATCAATGATCTGTAGAAAGTTTTGATTGTCAACTATAGGATTCTCATGTGAGAGACCAGTAAACTGCCCATCTGAGTACAATATTTGCACCATACTCTGGTTCAAATCTCCCACCAGCCTTAGCTTTATGAATTCATGAAATCACATTGGTGGGTCGTGGGATTGCCAAATCTCTAACTCTCATCTCATTAGCTGCCATTGTTTCAGGTGTTTGTTCTCTTTCCTCCATCTTAGTAATCAGAGGTGGTTATTACCCAATGCCCAAAGAAATTGGATATTCTTCTTGCCTCCGCCTTTTGTTTATAAATCTTTCAAGTTCTGAGAGAGGCAACAACAATTCTCGATTATTGTCCAATTTGGAGTATCAAGCAACCCGCAACAATGAAATGCTAAGATCAAGTTGTCAACACTAGTGTTTAACTTTAGAACTGAAAAAATAAAATATTTCCTAATTGCTAAAGTACCCGGCAGCAGTGCCAAAAACTTATTGTGGTCCAATCCCACACGTAAGTGCACATGATTGTACAAGTAATACAATTTTTCTTTTAGAGAGTCGGGTATCGTACCCATAAGGACTTAAAACTAGAATTTTCTATTTCTCCAACTTGAAGAAATATTTCCTGATTTTTTTAAAGATTGTTAGTTAATTAATTCTACTTAAAACTAACTTATAACTACTACGATTCAATTTAGTACGTTTCAAACAGTGACATGGGAAAGATCAAGGGCTGCAGTTTTTACCAGGAATCATGTAATCAATATCATTTAATAAGGGTTTTCTTTGAATTATCTTATCACTGAACCATAGGGTTCGATGTATGATTATTGTCTCCTGACCTCTAATCGCCTACAATAGGTAACACTCTAACTACATCGTTGAGTGGGGAGAGAGTGATTAGAACTTGAGAATTAAGATATATTCATGTACGGTGACCCAAGCAAGGTTTCTAGGTATATCTCTATCCTAGAAACGAATCAGCCATAACTATTTAGAGTTAAACAAGCTCCTTATGCTCCACGTTCTATCATCTTATTCCTCTCTCGAGTTCAATTCAGACAATAGATTTATTTCTATGGTGATCAAACATGAAATACCAAAAGCAAGAACATAAGAAATTCATATGATAATTCATGAGAAAATCCAATATCAAATTCAAAGAATTACATTCATCCTGTAGCTACAGCCAAAGAACTAGGGTATTTAGCTACTCATAATCATACAATCAATCTTACAATGGTTATTAATCATCAAAACAATATTGAAAGACAAAGAGATAGGGAATGAACCCTAAAAGCTTCAAGGTATCGTTATCCCTGTCTTCACATTCGAAATTAGAAAAAGAATAATTAATAAAACTAAATTAATACTCTATTTATACTAAGATTGAAGTGGCCAATTCAGGGCCTCAGGCGCACGACACACATTATGAAGCCCTATCGCACGACACAGAAGCTTCATGAGGCGTTCTACCTTGAATTTAATTCCAGAATGGATTTTCTTATTCTTGTTGCGCGACGCGAAGGTAACACGTAGTTGCCTTGGAACCTTTTCTTCAACTTCTTCCTTACTTCCTTTTATCTTAATTCTTTAGATTGCTTCCTTTGTCACTTTTTGTGCACATTTCTCCCCATTTAGCTTTCCTACACAACTAATCATGTCGGTTAGCTCAGAAACATAGAAATGACTCCATACGTCTCTAAAAATACACTTTTCTATCCAAATTAGGCATAAATGTGGACATACTTAGCATTATGGGCATTAAATATGCCCAAGATCAGTACCTAACTAGTTGTTGTCCCTAAAAGATTTCCCACACACATGATGATTCTAAATCCTCTATCACACAAAAGTGCTACATCCATCAACACATATTCACTCAAAACAACGACCTACGAGCACTCTATGTTTACCCTCAACAACAATGTCCAATTGCCAAAATTTACTCGCAACAGATATATCCAGGAACAAATAATTTTCAAGTCTGTAGTTCGCTCCTCTCATCTCCTCTATATCTATCAATATTCTGCTTCTCCTTGCTTATAACTACTATATTATGCTTTTATTAACTTCTTATTTGCATATATTCTTGTTCTACTTTCAGCTTTTGTGCACATCTGTTTTAATGTATATTTAATTTGTAACTTACAACACTTCAAGAATGGCTTCCTATAAGCAGAGCTATTAATCTAGTGAAACCAAGCGTCAAATTGCTCTCCACGAGCACATATACATGGTTTTCATACTACTCTTTCTGTCTCAAACTATGTGATAATCTCTCGTCTTAATTTATTTAGCATTTTGAGCATACGGTAACATTGGTCAACCACTGTATTGCATAAAAAACAAGGCTCAAACAACAAAAATTGGACTTTCGAGATAGCTCAGACAGCTAATGGAATAGCGCACTATAAGATAATTGGAGAATCCCATACAACCAATGATGAGATGACCAGAGCATCTCAAGCAACAAAGAATAAGGTTGCTTGAGCAGCTAAGGAAACTAAAGAAATGATAACAAGACAACATCACTTTACAATCACAAGTAAAAAACTTCAGCCAACATTGACCAACAACAAAGCTAGTCCAAGTTTTATGTTACAAACATATCCATCAACAACTAATATAGCTGTCTCAAGATGGTCTTGAAACTAGAGGTCACTTGTTTGTCTACTGTGAGTCTACAAGTGCTCTTTGGAGAAAGTTGATGGCATGGATCAAATAGACAGACTATACCTCCTTAAATTGGATCATAGATAAAACCAGAGGCAACAATCTGTTAGGACCGCAATTAATTAGGTGTAACGCGGAAGCTAGAATGCAAACCTTGAAAGACCACGAGTAAGAAGAGAACGAGAAATATACCAAAAGCCACAAAGATTTAATGTGGTTCGGTCAATCGACCTATATCCACAAAGGAGATGAGCAATCCACTATAAATATGAGAGTACAAATACAGAGGGAAATAACCTCACTCAAATTCACTCAGAATACATGGGAGGTTGACACAAGTGATAACGTATCAAGCTTGTGACCCACAATTTCTCCCCCTAACCAAAACTCTCAAAGACATTAAGACTACATTGTCAATGCTAAGTTAGAACATTCCTCTATTTATAGAGTCCTAAACCTTTTCCTACCAGAAAAAGGATTAATCAATCAAAAACCTTTTTTCCTTAAAGGAAAACCTATTTATGGTAAGAAATTTAAGGCAAACAAAACCCAACAAATCTCCCCCTTGGCCTGAATTTCTGACAAAATAAATTTGTCCACCTTCTTTACTTAATATTCAACAGCTTGCTTCTCCTCTTCATAACATCCTTTACAAAATTTATGTCTCAACACAGAGAACCTCTCTGAAACAATTTGTCCAACAAAATCTTCATTACTGTCAAAAAGTTGTGTCTAGAACTACACCTGTCAAGATGAATTTATGGTAAGAAATTTAGGGCAAAAGGATTAGTCAATCTAAAACCTTCGCACTTCCACAAAACTCATGCTTATCTATGATCACCACTTTCGTAAGCATATCTGAAGGATTGTCATCAGTGTGTATATTCTCAACCTCGAATAATTTCTCTTCTAGGGACATTCTAATCCAATGATGTTTTCTACTAATATGCTTGGACTTAGAATGAAAGGTAGAGTGCTTGGTGATATAAATAGCACTTAGATTATCACAAAATAAGAAAAATGATTTTTCAAAATCATGATATTTGATAAACTCCTTCATCCAAAGCAATTCCTTGGCACCTTCAATAATGGCAATATATTCGGCTTCTGTGGTAGATAGAGTTATGAACTTCTGAAGTCTTGATTGCCATGAAATAGCTCCCCCTTCAAAAGTGATCAAACAGGCAGAAGTGGATTTTGAATTGTCAAGATTTCCTCCCAAATTAGAGTCTGTGTAGCATACTAGTTCAGACTTGCCACTACCAAAGCACAACTCCATATCTGACGTGCACTTCAAATATCATATTATCCATTTGACTGCACCCCAATGTCTTTTCGAGGATTGGAAAGAAATCTGCTAACGGTACAAATAGCATGTGCAATATCTGGTCTAGTGCAAATAATAGCATATATCAAGCTACCAACCGCGGAAGAATATGAAATACTTGACATCTTATTCTTCTCTTCATTAGTCGATGGACTTTGAGTCGTACTCAACTTAAAGTGTTTAGCAAGAGGTGTACTAACCACTTTTTTCTCTGTCATGTTGAACCTCTTGAGTACTTTCTCAATATACTCCTTTTGGGATAGAGATAACTTCTTCTTTTGTCTATCTCGATGGATTTGTATGCCTAAGATCTTCTTTGCTGGCCCCAAGTTCTTCATCGCAAACGGAATTGCTTAACTCTTTCTTAAGGACAATTCTAGATATATTTTTGCCAACAATCAGCATATCATCCAAATAAAGTATTAAGATAATAAAATCATCATCAGAGAACTTCTGAAAGAATACACAATGATCTGAAGAAGTTTTCTTGTATCCCTAATTTTCAATGACAGATTAAAACTTTAAGTACCACTGCCTTGAAGGTTGTTTTAAGCCATACAAACTCTTTTTCAATTTGCAAAAATGGTTTTCTTTCGCATTAACTACAAAACCTTCAGGTTGCTCCATGTAGATCTTTTCTTCTAAATCACCATGAAGAAAGGTAGTCTTGACATCCATATGCTCAACCTCTAAATCTAGACTTGTGGCTAAGGTGAGAACCATACGAATAGAGGACATTTTCACAACAGGAGAGAAAATTTCATCAAAGTCAATCCCCTTCTTTGACCAAAACCTTTGACGACTAACCTAGCCTTGTATCTAGGTGCA